GGAGCCTGATGTGGGACTCGATCCCGGGACTCCAGGATCATGACCTGAGCTGAAGGCAGTTGCTTAACCAACTGAGCCACCCAGGCGCCCTTAAAAGATTATTTTTTTAATCAAAACGTGTAACAGTTTGTTATGGGTTTATAGCTTTATGTAGAAGTAAAATATAAGACATAACACAAGAGGTAAATGGAATTATAAAGTTATATTGTTCAAATAATATTTAAAGGTAGGCTGTGGTAACTTACAGATAATCTCTATAACAAACACTAAAAACTAGCACAGAGAAGTAAAGCTAAAAAAGCAATACAGGAAATAAAAGTGGAATACTGAAAAATAAGTATTTTAACCAAAAGAAAGCAGGAAAAGAATAAAGAAGAAATAGGATAAATAGAAAATATATACCAAGATAGTGGATTTAAACCCAGCTGTACTAGTAATTACATTTAATGGGCTAAATACATCCGTTAAAAGGGAGAGATTGTCAAAGTAGATTTTTTTTTTAAAGATTTTATTTATTTATTCATTTGACACAGAGAGCACAAGCAGGGGGAGCAGCGGAGGGAGAGGGAGAAGCAGACTCCCCGCTGAGCAGGGAGCCCAATGCGGGACTCGATCCCAGGACCCTGAGATCAGGACCTGAGCCGAAGGCAGTCGCTTAACTGACTGAGCCACCCAGGCGTTCCTCAAACTAGATTTTTTAAAAGGGAAGACCCAACTATATGCTGTTTACAGGAAGTAACATTTGATTGATTGATTTGAGAGAGAGAGAGTGTGCACACAAGCAGGGGGAGGGGCAGAGGGAGAGAATCTCAGGCAGACTCCCTGCCAAGTGGGGAGCCCCAACACTGGGCTCCATCTCCCAACCCTGAGATCATGACCTGAGCCAAAATCAGGAGTCAGACACTCAACCGACTGAGCCACCCAGGCACCCCCATTGGTGAGATCTCTTTAATGACGGCTTAATCCATAGGTATATTTTGGCATGAAGATCTTTGTGTTTAATTCAGTAAACAATAGGATCTAATTTCATTATGGACCTTTCACACTTTAGGAACTTTTCATTGGGAAAATAATTATTTTAGACAAATACAAGTTGTTACATGTTCAATAATATTTGTATGACTTGGTCATAAAACTTGTGGTAATTGGACTAAGCTTTTGGGCTGTATTTTTAAACTTTATGAGAAATGCCTTGATGTTTTAATCTTGAGACACATCTCTCAGCCCGGAGTGTAACTAGAAGAGTTCTAATCTCTATGTTGGTGTTTAGTTATGTGAACCTAAAATGTCAGAATATTCATGAAAAAAAAAGTATATGAATATTTTAATGAGAGTTTAGTAAATGTAAATGTAGAGTGAGTCACTATAGAAAGATCTTCATATAATTTTATTATATGGCATTAAATTTTTTTTTCTTCCAGGGTGCTCTGGAACAAGGTTCCAATTCTCAGCTCATGGCTGTCCAATACACAGAAACCACTAGTATCAGGTAAGAAAGTATGGAAGTTCTTGGCCACAGAATTTTAAATACCTAGTATTTTAGTAAAGTTGAAAAGCATATTTCCCTTTTACCTTAAACTTGTTCTCATCGGTGACTTTACTGTTAGTTCACATAACATACTGCTTCTGAGCAGTCAGAGTAAATCCAGATAATTTCAAAAGGTTAACTCTCAAATTCCTTAAATACAGATTTAGTTAGGATGCTGTTCAGTCATAATTTTGCTGTACAATTTAAATATACATAACTCTCGTCCTCGATTTGCATCTATTTCATGAGCCAAGGGGAAGAGAATGTTATTTGAATGTCTGCTCTGTGCCAGGTGTCCTGCTGAGTGCTTTACATGCATTTTATTCTTTAAATCTCTATAATAACTTAAAGTGTAGGTATCACAGTCCCTATTTTATATAGAGAAAAACTGGGCAAGTCACTTATTTTTTCTAAGCCAGAGTCATAGAACCAGTAAGTGGCAGAATCACCATTCAGATCTATTTGACTTAAAATGCATTTTTCGCCACACTGATGCTACTTAAGATTTTGAAGGATTCCAGAAGGAGTGCTGTGCCTAAGGTTGAAATGTATGGACCAGACATATCTAACTAAAAGGAACAGTATCATGGGAGGCGATGTAGTGTCATGGTTTAAGATGCTAGCTTTTGAGTTGGCAGAGTACAGATCATTTCTGCCACTTACTTGCTCTGTGGATTCAAGCAGGTCACTTAAAGTTTCCTCATCTACAAAACTTTGGCCACACAGCGTTGATGATTAAATTGCATACTTCATTTAAAGCACTTTACACGGTACTTGGCATGTTCAAAAGCCGGTAATGATGATGATGTGATACACTCATGACCGTATCACTGAAGTGGAAGTAAAGAGGGGCCCCTGGGTGGCTCAGTCCATTAAGCGTCTGCCTTCGGCTCAGGTCATGATCCCAGGCTCCTGGGACTGAGCCCCGCATCAGGCTCCCTGCTCAGAGGGGAGTCTGCTTCTCCCTCTGCCCCTCCCCCTATACTCGTGCTCTGTCTCTCGCTTTCTTTCTCTCAAATAAATAAATAAAATCTTAAAAAAAAATAAAGTGGAAGTAAAGAGTCTCAGATTCTGTCTGTACCTCTACCATAGACTTAGAGTTCACAATTTATTTAATAATAATTTCACATTTACTGAGCACCAGCTGTGTGTCAGACAGTGTACCAGGCCCCGAGAATACAGACCTAGTATAAGTTGAAAGCTGTTCGTTATCCTATTACTGAGAATTACTATTAAATGGCAGTGAGCAGCATGTCAGCAATCATGAATGTTTAAAATCATGAAATACTATATTATCTTGTAGAAATAGATAATTCAAATATATATAGTAACTAATAATTCTCTAGTGATCAGAATATTTCTTTCATTTATTATATGCATATTTAAAATATTTTCCTTTTTTATTTTTTTAAAGATTTTATTTACTTACTTGACAGACAGAGTGAGACAGCACAAGCAGGGGGAGCAGCAGAGGGAGAGGGAGAAACAGGCTCTCTGCAGAGCAGGGAGCCTGACGTGGGACTCGATCCCAGGACCCTGGGATCATGACCTGAGCCGAAGGCAGATGCTTAACCATCTGAGCCACCCAGGCACCCAATATTTTCCTTTTTTAAATGGAATTTTTTTTTTTGAGAGAGAGTGTGTGTGATTGGGGGGGATGGGGAGAGGGAGAAAGAGAATTTCAAGCACGCTCCATGCTCAGCATGGAGCCCAACGTGGGGCTTGATCTCACAACCCTGAGATCATGACTTGAGCTGAAATCAAGAGTGGTACGCTTAACCGACTGAGCCACCCAGGTGCCCTGCCTCCCACTTTCTAAAGTAAGCTCCACGTCCAGCGTGGAGCCCAGTGTGGGGCTTGAACTCACGACCCTGAGATCAAGACCTGAGCTGAGATCAAGAGCCAGACACTTAACCAACAAAGCCACCCAGGCACCCAAATATTCATTTTTTGATGCATCATTATGATGGCATATTATTTCTTTACTAGTTAAAAATGTTTTTAATCTGGGGCGCCTGGGTGGCTCAGTCGTTAAGCGTCTGCCTTCAGCTCAGGTCATGATCCCAGGGTCCTGGGATCGAGCCCCGCATCGGGCTC